GTTCATATTTGGCCATCCATATTGCTCTTTTCCTCCCCGCCTCTGCTTTCCTGGTTTCTGCCTTCCCATCTATATCCCTATATGAGAGAGAAACTACAAACTCCTTGTAAAGTGTTACTCAGTAATAGAAGTGGCAGAATGACGGATGGGTAATTTCCCTGAAAAAGGATTGGGCTTACAAAGATATCTTACGGTGTCTCTTTTGGGAAATGGCATGGCAGGAACCTTTCTGAGGATTAGCCCCTCTCTTAAGAGGTGTAATTTCAGAGCTGCTCTGTGTTTTGAACATCCCAAATCAAGGCACAATTATTCCTTCCAATTACAGCAGAGTGAGATTTCTAGGAACTTGCCCACCCACCCCTGTTCTTCCTGGAAGGTGGGGGGACTGTCTCCAAACTTGGAGGCCTCACATACGATCAGCTATCTGGCAAGGATCTCAATCAGTACCTGTAATGGTTATTACAGAACCGACTCATTCGTATGATTCAGAATGCAAAAGAGAAAATAAAGAAAGAATACATTAAATGAGAGGAAAATGGATATCCCAAAGAATAGCAAAAACAGCAATCTCAGTTGGACATGGCCAACAGAAATCTAGCTGTTCATTCACACCTAAATCATGGTGACAGAACAGTAGAAAGTGAGGGCAAGAAGTTCACTACCCGAAAGAGAGTAACAATGCTAGCGTCATTCAAAAAACAGATGTTATGATAAAGGGAATCACGGGAGATTGAAGATATCAAAACTAACAACGAAAGTGTGAAACTTACTTGAACAGTGGTCCTCAACCTGTGGGTCATGACCCCCTTAGGGGTGGCATGTCAGACATCCTGCACATCAGTATTTACACTACAATTCGTAACAGGAGCGGAATTACTATGAAGCAGCAATGAAATAATGTTATGGTCAGGTGTCACCACAACATGGGGACCTGTGTTAAAGGGTCACAGCATTAGGAAGGTTGAGAACCACTGTACTAGCAAGATTGGAAATTTAAGCCAATACACACACCTCATAATACAGCTTACAGAAACATAAGGTAAAAGGTAATAGAACCACAAGAAGAAGGAATCTTTAGACCATGATCTTAATTTATCTGTGATCACCTCATAAAATTCTATATCTTAAGCAGAAAAATGACCAATCTCAAAAGTGCAAAACCCCTATTTTTAAAAAGAAAATTAAATCTAATAAAACTGGCAAAATACACAATGAACAAACGCTGTTTTCTCAATAATAGAATGTTAGGTTGGCCCAAAAATATTTCTCTGAACATTTTCACTATAATAATTTATTCATTAATTAATGGAAAAAATCACATATTAATGATAAAAATAGGAACATAGAGGGATTTCACTAGCATAACATAGGATATGTTTAAATGATACACAATACTGTTCCACTTAACAGTAAACTTTTACCACATTCCTTTTGAAAGTCAGGAACCAGAAAGAAGGCCTTATTCATCTGCTTACATTCACTGCTGCACTGGAAACCCTACTCCAAGTAACAGATTGGGAAAGAGAAATAAGAAGGATAAGTACTGAAAAGGAAACTTAAAGCTGTTTTCTGAGGATATAGTTGTAAAAAAAAATCCAAGAAAATCTACATATTGTAAGAACTAATAGAGTTAAGTTGCAACATACAAGATAAATATTAAAAAAGAGTGAATGTTTCTACCCGGCAGTGACTTCTTAGAATAGGATATTTCCTGTTTTCAAAAGGTACCAATGACAATAACAAAACTTACCAGATACCTAAAGTGAGTTTCATATAACAAGCACAAATGCTCATGAAGAAAAGTATAAAGCTTGACTGAAGACTAGTGCAAACAAATCAATAGGCCATGCCTACAAGTAAGAAACTGTGTTCTCTTGGGATTAATGCACAACTTTAATACATAACAGTCTAGTTCCAGCACAAGAGTTTAGGAGATATGATACGATCATCTCAAATTTATGACAGGAATAACTGAATGAACAGAATGTTTTGTGGAAGGGTGTGGAAATTTATTTGCCGGATATTCAGATTTTGTATGAGACATACAGATAGTATCAGAGCATCGGGGCAGAAGTCGACAGAGGCACAAATTAAGATCTGCTAAAATTCATGATATGGTGTAAGAAATGCATCACACAAGCAGATGATGAATGAGTTGTTCAGATGTGAGATTGGTTTATCAGTGAAAATGACATTAAAATAATAAGAATATTTAATTTTACGCTCATCAAATTGTCTAAATTTGATGATTTGACAATCCTGGTGATTATAAAAATGAGGAGAAATGGATAGGACAGGCATATTGGTGCAACCCATCTTGGAGAGAGCAATTTGTCAGTATCTAGGGAAGGCAAAGGTATGCTTTTTATATCACCCCTACATTTATGTTATGAAGAAACTCTACAAACTCTTAACAATTGCTCCCAGCAGATAGAACCAATAAATGGAAACTAGTTATATCTTAACAATGTCAATGGTAAAGAAAACAGAATCAAAGTTCACAGAAAATTCTGTTTCAGCAGCAAGAAGATGAACCTTATGAATGTCAGAATCCTTAACATTTGAAGGACTACATACACCACTGAAATGTGGATATGAGGTAAGTGTAGTTTTTTTTCTAAAAAGATAGACATACAACAACTGCAAGATTGTGGGCAACAATGAGTGAAGGAGTTAAGAGTTTGGTTTTGAAGAACATGTGTGATTGCTTCTGTGATGTTCCTTTGGTTAAAAAAGGATATGAAACATGTAGGGGGAAATATTGCCATTGAGGAAATTTGATGCTCAGAATGAGGCATTTGCTACATTTTCTATGTAATTTTCAGGCACTTATGAAGTAATTTATTCAATAAAAATATGATCAAACCATAGATGACATTTTAAGTGAAGATGTAGGCTCATTCTAGCTCGGAAGACGTTAACACAAGAAAACATCCATCCTGTCACTAGCATTGTGTGATTTCACAATCTGATTGCAACTTGGATTTGGAAATTCTCCTACTGATTGTTCTTGGTTGTTCCCAGAAGAAAATCCAAGAAACTTTTGGACACTTCTCATGTTTGAATTTTCAAGACTTGAATTTGGCGAATGAAAAAAGACAGGAACAGGAGGGGAGTAGAAGGAGATGTGGGACTCAGTCTATTTAGAAGCATGACTCCTATTTAATTTTGAATTAGAAGAAAAATAAAAGAAGGTGTTGAAAGCTGAGTACAATTTTTGTCTTTGGAAAAACATGCCATGGATTAGTGGCCTAAGATAAAATGTTTTAGCATGTGCCTCAATATTTTAGTTCCAGAGAGGTTTGGAATGCCATTATCCTCTTTTTTAAAACCAAACCAAACCAATACAAACCAAACCAAAAAAAGCAAGTTAATAAATAAAGTTTGTTAAAGGAAGAACTTGCCTCAAGTTCCAGTTTTTCATATAATATGTGTTATAAGTATGTATCAGGAAACAACTTATTAAAATGAATTTAATCTAAACACTGTTACCATTGCAAAAACATTGACTCTGGAAAGGGATTGGAAAATCATGAAAACTAGTTCAGCAATACTTCTGGTATTGCTCATGTAAAATAAATCTACTAGAAATGTCATCTAAGATTCCCTTCTAAGTTTCATAAGAAGCAAACAGCACTCCAAACATGTATTGGTGATATTTGCAACTTTTTCTAACTACATTTATAAAATTACCATTTTTTTTCTTCTACCCCTGCTCAATTACCAGCATCCAACTGGTGTTTTGGTTATCTTCTAGACTTAAAAGTATTTTATAAAACTCATAGAATGATATGAGCTTTAAGTCAGTTTAAAAAACATTCCTTAATGTGAATCTGGTCATTAAAAAAAGAAGAATATTTCATGTTCTCAGGGATGTCTGAAGTTGTGCAGCACGATGTGTGAGGTCTTCACCATAAAAGAATCACAATTTTAGATGTTAAGAATTCTGAATTTCACATATCAGAAACTGGTTGGATTTCCCCTGCACACTTTAAAGGGGCTATCAAATACAGCAGGGGATTTTCTTCCCATAATCTGTAATATCCTTAGGGCATCAAAGGGGAGTTTAATGACCTTATTTTTTTTTTTATTCTACAGACCAAGATGCAAGTTTCATCTCCCAGCTTCTAAACAGAGGTATGGGTATTTAGACTTTATAGTTGGAGGAGGACTAAATGGGTTCAGATTTTAGACCTCACTCAGGCAAGATGTGGCAATTTTGAGTTTCTGTTTTCTCTCAGAAAAGCGTACACAACACATTCAGAAAACATGCCCCCAATTTATGTCCTCAGGTTACCATTAATTGTATGGTACTTATTTTTGGTGACCCATACTCCAAATGTTACAAATTAAAAATACACACGAGTCCTAGAATTAAAGACAGATGGTACCCAAAGAAGCTCAGAGAAGTCAGTGCTGTTTTGCCGAAAGCCATGTTTTAGGGCAAGAGAGTCAGTGTAAGGAAGAAAATGTCCATTCTCCAATAAGACACAGCACTAATGGGAGCAGAATAGAGGTCGTTAAGCAATCCAAGCATATCTTGCACCATCAACATAGCATGAGCAGTGGATGAGTCTAGATCAGAATTACTTAACAGGTAAAGATTATCCTATTCATGCTTAATCTTATGGATTTTGTCAGAACAGATGTTAATAATAGTGATGAATCACACTGTTCAAAAGGATTCCATTTACCTTTTGATGGGCTGGTCCTTCCTTTACAATATATAAATGAGTTCCTTTTATTTGATCCCCATAAATCCAATTTCATTTTTACTTTTGTCAGCTTCTTGTATGATACAAATTAGATAAGTGAGGGAGATTTTGCCTTGTCATTGGGATGGTTGAAGAGAAATGGGAAAATCTGTTTGGTCCAACTTAGGACAAATTCTTGATTATAGATCATTAAGTGGTTTAAAAAGTCTTTAGTAAAATTGCTTCAGCCATATGGGTGATATTCTGCTCATCCCCATTTCAAATAAAAAAATAAAGAAGGACAAGCAAGGGTAACAAACATTTATTGAGCCAGGCACTGAGCTGGGTATTTTCAATAACGACACAAATAGAAATATAGTGACCATATTATTCTGGCATGTCTAAGATTCTGTTTGGCAAGCATTTTTGGCATGCAGTAAAAATGAAGTTAGAGAAATTAGCATAATCTTCATATTATCAACAAAGATTTAACTATCCATATTTTCCCTGCAAAGTGGATGGAGACAAATGAATAAATTTGCAAAGTACAATTGTGTAATAAAGATTCGCAGAGCGAAAAATGCAAGAGGACAAATCATATGAGTTTAACACTGTATAACCCTTTAAAGTGAAAAAAGTAGATTCAATAATAGTGACACATAGAAATGAGTCTTTAAAATCACAACAGTATTATTTCTGATGAATGGCTGGCTTTTCCGATACCATACTATATTTGATGGTTAAAATCAAATAAAGAGGATATTTAATTCTTGGGAGTTTGGGAAAATTAAATTACTAATTCATGATTATAGATCTTCTAGTAGCAAAAATTCTTCAAGGAAACTACTTTATCCACATCCATGTAATTCTGTTCATTTGCATTTCAAACAAAAAAATAGAATCAAGGGAGGCAAAGGCAATAAACACCTTTGAGTCAGGCACTGTGTTGGGTATTTCAAATATAACAATACAGGTTATAATTGCTTTGGCCAATCACCTTGAGGTGACTCACTAATAGGAAAAATACACTCTCTATATTTTTTTCAAAAAAATCTGATGAATTACTGAGTAGTCTTTCTGCACTTGACTCCTCAGCCTATGTCTACAAATTATTGAAATGTAAAAATGATCCATAAAATCTAGCATACATCTGCAAAGTAATGAATTAGAAGGTTTATTATTAGGTTAAAAATGACAACAATAGCAATCACTTCTAATTTCCCACTTAAGGTTAAATTTTGCTTGGCATTTTGTAGGGAAAGAGCAAGAAAGAGGTAGTGGCAGCTCTGGAAATAGGGAACTTTATGCTAGAGCGGAGTCTTTGCTTCAATATGGCTTGACACGATCACTTAATGGGCTGCATCTGGATTGCTTTGGTTTATACAAGAGACTCTTCCACTGTTTATAATTAATGACAGAGCACAAAAGCAAGTCTCAAGGAGCAAAGAACACTAGGGATCACATGAAGCAAAGCCAAAGGGTTGACATTTCAGTAATCGGTGGATTGTACTTTAAACACATGAATACTCCAGGTTAGCTGTACAGTGACACACAATATCAGTTGTAGAGAAAGATTAAGAAAAAAAAATCAGTACTTTCACAGTTTCAACAGAAATACATGATTACATATATGATTACATATTTTTAGTTTTGCTTTACAAACATAGACATAATTATTTTGAAATTAGATATGTTAGATCATAAGTCATTAAATAAAGATTTTCATTTGTATTACATGATAAATTTTACAACAAGATGATTATATATTTCAATATGGCATATACTGGTTTTGAACCACAAAAACAATATAATGGAAAAGAACATATATTTTAGAACGAGGAGTGTCACACATAAGAAACATATCAATTATTCCATCAACACCAGTCCAAATATAAAATGTGGTATCTTTCATTTCTAACTATAAGCAGCTTTGATGAAAAGTCATTAGGATGTGGAAGGGAGGTAGTTTTTAAAATTAAAATTATTTTTCTCAGAAATTTAGTAAAACACATGATTTTTCAGAGGTATTTTTCTAATGTAGTTTTTTTTTTTTCATTTTAGAGAATGTGATAAAAAGATTGCCTTCCCAGTTTTCAAAATGTGCACAGAAAAACTAAGTCTGTATTTTCAACTTTATCCAGGGGGGCATAATTTGGCCATAATTATTTAAGTTTATGTTTGATAGTACTGTTGCAGTTACAAAGGTTTTTAAAATTTTTCTTCTCTTTTTAAACAGTAGGCAAATATTAATCAACATACTAAGATTATCTGTGAGCCCCTTTATTCATTGGCCAGACCATATAGCCTTTCTACTCTATGTGTCTGAATGCTTTATAACTTGAGATAGAAAGAATTGGTGTGAATGGAATAGCCATTTGCCCGTGGTCTTATGAGTTATTATGCCTCTTAGCAATTAACTCATCATTACATGTAGATTCACCATTTTCAGTAAGATTTGAGTTAATGGATACTCTCCATTTGGTGGTGGCTCTGATATGCCCCATACTTTGGGACACTCTGTTTTCTACCTTTTTCCTCCATTGGAAATTGATACCATGCAGAACTCAAACCCAAAGTTACCATCGCGGAAAATAAAACTCGGAGGAGAAAATTCTGATGTGATTTACAGATGTCACGTATATTATTCATAGGAAAGGATTGTGATTGTAAGTAGATTTTCTGGTTAGATCATACACTCAGAAGCAAACAGTCTATATTTTATAGATTCTCTTTAATACGGTCAGCATCTACTCATCAAGAGAGCCCAGATTTGTTAGATGATGAATTACCGGCTTGAGTGTTTAAACATGTGCATATTTAAATGAAGCATTACTTATGATCTCAGTGTGGGTTTGTGTCTATGTGGAGTATGCAGAGCCAAAAACACCCATATTGTTTATGGGTGTTTTTGTTCTTGTAGACCCCAAGTTTACTATTGATCTTTCGGGAGAACAACAGGTCCTGGAAAGAGGGACTGAAAAGGCTATAAGTGTGTAGAACTGGTAAGCCAACAGAGTTTCGGGGGTTCTGGTCTACCTGACTCAGAGAAATGGAGGTCAGTTTTTTATGAAGCATTTCTGCACATTCACTGCCTAGGTCATGGGCATGTTGGCAGTGGCACCTGGGCTTTTCACCTGCAATTTTAGATTTTACTTAACTCATGAGAATTAAAGACAGACCTAGAAGAAATTATAGAAACATTTTTTGAGAGGATTGACCTACTTATTTAAGACAGAGGAAACAAGTGTTCAGAATTAAAAGAAATGTTCCAGGTCTTGCAACCTACTAGCAGTGCTGTAACCTAGAACTGGGCGTTGAGGGCTCAGAGAATCTTCTACCAGCATCAGTATTGTGCTATGCCAAAAAAATCAGAAAAGAAACCTTGTTCAATGAAGCATGCATGAAACTTTCAGCCATGGCAAATCAGCGAATAGATATTCAAGGTCATTGTTAATTTTCCGTCTGTGTGCAGAGCTTCAAAATGCACACATCATCCTCTTCAGGGCTTGGCATACAATTCAGTGTCATAAAAGAGTGCATCCACATTTTGTTTCAGAAAGGAGAGTCTTGAATCATGCATGGGTTGATTGGTTTATCTCCCATCAAGCTTGGACTCAGGCAAAGTGATTGACACTATTCACTTCAGTTCTGTTATGATTCAATTAAACTATACACACAAAAATCCCTGCACATTTTACTGGTTAGTCTTTAGATCATTTTGTCATCCCCCTTTTGGCTTCTCTTTTGTTCATCTCTCCATTTATTTAAAAGAAAGCCATTTAAGATAAAATTTATTTTCTAATCAATGCACTTTTCTTCCAAAATGAAACCTTTTTTTTAAAAAAAAAGTAAAGAAAGGCACTTTGTAAAACATATACAGATCTGTTTCTTTCTTGTCTATGCTAAATTGAAGTTGTTAAGGGTAGGCTGAGTCTTTTTGCAAATGATGGGCAGCAAAGGGTAGCTGAATAAAAAAGGGAAAAAGAAAAAGCTGGTTTTCCATCAGGACAAGCTTTCCCCTGTAGCTCGATTCATCAACTGAGGACTCAGTGATTCTCTTGGATCATTTCAAGCACAGTCTCCCAGTTTAGATTTTACACATGCAATAAGAGTTTGGCTGCTTCCCACCAAACCACACTGAATCACTAACCTATAACTGACTACCAGAACTGGTCTCAGGCACTTAGGAAAATGTATCATCTATCAGGAATCAGTGACACAGCTGATGCTAAGTTGTGCTCATATTAAAGTTCATTCTATGCATTTGTTAAAACTTATCAGAGATAGTTTTGCCATTTATGTCCTAAAGTTCCATCAATCATCCACTGGATATATTCAGTTTCCATGTGCTTTATAACTTGAGTTTTTAGATAGTTTTTACAACATTATACATTTTTATGATTCAGAGCAAAAGGTTCTTTAATCTACATGGGCAATGGTTATTCATGAAACATGATGATTAGAAAACAGGCAACAAGTACATACAAGAACAGAGATTAGGGCTGATGGCTCCACACAGGAATGAGCATGGCTTGATATATAAAAGGTAATTTTTCTAAAGATGAACGTCTCATTTCCTCTGTCTTTCTTAGCACTACATATTTGCACATGATCCTTGAGTCTGACTTATATGATATCTGTATAATATAAAATATATGTGCAATAGATGAAGATGAATGGGTGCTGAGCTTTAAAGAATGAAGTACCATGAGCACATCAATGAAGGTGTTTCTGCATTTCTATAAGAGTCTGAAGACATAACTAAGATTGCAAAAAATTAGTTCCAAGTATTCAGCGAGTCATAGAAACAAGAATATTGGATTTCAAAAGGCCTTAGAGATTATTGGTCTAACAGAGAAAACCGAAATCTCAAATAGAAAATTGGTCTCTCCAAAGTAAAATAGGACTAGAGCCCAGGTGTCCTGGCTTCTACTATGCACCATTTCACTCAAGCAGCTGTCTTTCAACAGAAAATATTTGACTATAATGATTCTAATAAGTGAATAGGAGTATCGATTTGATTTTATTTCATGGATATTAACTTATTTTTGTGGAATGTAACTTGACTTTAGTCAGCCATATTTCTCATATATGCAAAATTATATATCCAAAGCAGATTTTTAAAATGTCAAACTATGAGTAACATATGCATTATCAATTTTATAGTGGCAATTTGTAAATAAATGCATTTATTTGTCTCCTGGGAAGGAATAGAATATGTTGGGAAAGGTTTAGTTTTTACTGGCTTTGAGGTTTATTCTCTTTGTCAGTAGTTTTCAGGGTGAACTAGATTAACTTGCCTTCTTAGAAGTTGTGTGGATTTTGCACATCATTCTCTAGCGTGACTTCATAGAATCTTCATCCTTGTGTGAATTTTAGATCACTAATAGCTTTGTTTTTGCTTTCTTGTTACATACAGTGTTGCTCGTTTCCAGTGAAGTAGACTTGCTTCATACTTTCCCAGAGGGAAAAAAACAACCTATCATGAAAATGGTCATAGAGAAAAATGATTCTCCAGCTTGAGTGTGTGCATGAATTATCTGGAAGTTTGTAAATGCAGACTCCAATTCTGGATGTTTTCGAAGAGGCTTGAGATGCTGCAAACAAAATTTCCAAGCAGAGCCCACGTGATGCCATTGTTGTTGGTCTTCAGACAGTTAGTATGGAGGATTTGGGGTATTGAATGAACCTGGACAACGTTCCTGAATGCTTCTATTTATCACAGTGTTTCTGTACTGGAAAAATATGCTTCAGGTGTTTGCATTTGTAGTTTTGAAAGCCTTGACTACATGTTTATTTTCAGCCATCGGAGAATCTCAGTCTTGTTTCTATCAGTATGTGCTTGTTCGGTGAAATATTTAACTCATAAGAAGTGAGTACAGATCTATATCCAGTTAGCAACTTGATTTGCCAATAAGTGAGATGAAAAATAGAGGGAGACAGAGTATAGTCAATGAGTCATGGATGCTCCTAAGAAATGGAGATCCAAGGCTTTGAGACTTCTCAGGAAGCCTAACCTTGGAGTTGGCTTGATATTCTACCATCCCCTGACCTTTGAAGCTTTTTTTTAAATCACTGAGTAGATGATTGCTTTCCTAGAACCTTTATCTGGACATTTCTGATGTGAGCACAGCCTCTGCCAAGAGTTTGCAAAGGCATCTATTCCAAAGAGATGCTGATGTTTGGTTTTGCTTAAAATCCTTTCATGTTCAGGATTGCTCAGAAGAAAGTAAACAAAACAAAGTCAAACCTTTCGCTTGGAAACCATTAACAGTCATCACTCTCTTTTTTCATGGTGGTTTGTAAGAGTCACCCATAGGTGGGCGGGGCCCTAAGCTTATGGGAGAAATATTTTAGGTCTATAGAGAGACCTAAAACCCTAAATCAGTAATGGTTGCTGTTTAAAGTATCCTGGAGATAAAATAAAAGTCAGATAAGTACTCTATTGTAATCAATTGAGTTTTTCATCCATTCCACATTCCTCAGTGGGCAATGGTTTGGCCTGGCATCTCCCTCTAACAGAGATTGCATATACTATATGTACCTTGAATACTCACTGTAACCTTGCAGCAGACATTACTGTACCCACTCGAATACGTAAACAACAGTACTGGGAGGTTAGAAAATAGTCTTTACTTTGCCTAACAATAGAAAAATAGTCTTCAAAAATACATTGCTAAACTTATGGGTTTGTATTAAAGTAGAGTTGTATGTACAATAAGGCAACACTTCTATTAGCATCCTTCAATGATAACCTTTTTTATTAAAGTTAGTCTTTGGGAATTTTTTTCCACTAAGAAAATATCAGGGTCTATAACAAATCACCTGTCCTGCTTAAACGAAGGACGGAAAATATTTGAAAATGGTTCACTATGTGGAATTCATTGGCCTAATTTTGGGAGAAAATTTTATTTTCCCAAACTATATTTTCTAGAGGCCTTAGAATAAAACAAAATTTAGAATAACCCATGTTTAACATATTCAAATTGCCTTAAGAAAAAATTGGGGGCATTTTCATTTTCATATAGGCAATGGGTCAGTAAGGTATAAAGACTGATGTAAACAATTTGGATGGTGTCCTGGAATGTATTCTTTCAAAAAGTGCTATATTTGGGGCATCTTAATAAAAATAAAAAGGAGTGTAATGGCTTAGCAATCAGTTCTTAGAAGCATTTTCTTATGGCATTTTCAACATATCTGTCATCATCTTGGGCTAAGTCATTTTGGCGGATTTGCACTCTCTGTCACATGCCAAATGTATTGCAGAGGCTATACCTATTGGCACCATTCCTCAAGAACAGTAGGCAATGTGCTTTTTTCACTGAACACATATACATAACTAATAGCAAAAAGCAAATCTACAAATCACAGGAAACAAATCAATTTGTTCTGGAGATCAGCTGTTGAGAAGAGGCAAGTGTTGAACGTGAGAATGAAAAGGAGTGAAGTAGTGCTTTTCGTTTCTTAGCCCACATTCTGTAACATTTGCTAGCAGACCACATCGTTTCATGACTCTGTAGTGTTACCTGAAGAAAAATCACATTTTAGCCAATTGTTCCATAAGTCTAGCCATCAGTGAAAGGAGTGCATGAAGCATGTGGGATCCAGGTAATCCAGCCTGCCCAGTTGGAGTCTGCAGTTGCTCGAGGCTGCAGCAAAACTGGCCAGATCTTTCTCAGATTGGTTTTGTTCAAGCAATGGAGGTGCCTTCTTGGCTGATTCCCCAAACAAAGCTGTGTTCTGAGCTGATGAATCTGGCACTAACACCAGGATGTGGTTATCCATGATCCCAGACACCTTGGCATACTCCTTACTGGTTTCAGGAACCCCAGGCTTCTCTGTCTGGTTGTTTTCTCTCTGTTTGGGGAACAATGATAGTCCTCCATCATTGTTGACTTTGTGAATCTCTACGTAATCTGGGGGTTTAGTATAGACAATGGGGGCTTTCTCCTGGAGCAGTGGCCACGATGTGTTTTGTTTAGTCTCAGAGTGGAAGCTTTTCATCTCCTCTTTCAATGCCACTTCATCCTTCTCTCCAGTCTCAAGGGTTTTAGAAAACTTCAGAACATTTTTTCCTGCTTTGTCCAGGAAAGAGGCCATTGTATTCACAGGACCTCCAGCTAGCTTGCACACATCAGCAATGCTGTGGTAAGGGGATCTTGGCATGTGCTGGCCAGGCAGTAAAGGCCATGTTGAAGATTTGGATACATCTGCATGAAAATAGGGTATGTTGCTTTGGGGGTTCTGAGTGGGAGGAATATTTGCCTCAGGATTCTCTGGTTTCTCAATGATCTCAGGGATGTGGAAAGTAGGAGGGTAGGCCTGGGGCTCCTCACACTTTTCAGATAAAAGAGAATGGCTGTCATAGCTTCCATGACCAGAGTCACTGTCAGGATCTAGGTGTGAGGGCTTAACACCTTGACCCGGATATTCTTTGGAACGGGATGGCATTAGCCGATCGTCCTCATTGGCATCCACTTCTAAAAACTCCACCAGCAAGTCCTCACAGTCAGAAGTTGGGGGAAAGTCTTGGCACCCCAAGGCACTCAGCAGTTCTTCAGACTTGCCCTTCTATTGAAACACAGATACAAGGAGAGACGGCTGTTAGCTTCATCACACGCCACACTCAGTAGCACAGCTGAGTGGTATCTGAACAGAGTAAAGGGGCTTTGCTCCTGAGGCAGCAGACAAGCTGTGTCTTGCTGAGTCTTGGAATGGAAGCTTTCCACCTCCTTCTACTCAGCAGAATGCTCCTTTGAGCCATCTCACAGATGATCCCCCGCCCCTGACTGTAGTGTGTATCAGGCCACCTAGAAGCACCTTGTGGATACTATTTACCACTACTTTTCTTTAGGTTTTTCATAATTTTTCACCTTTTCTATAATAGTGGTCATGAACTTAATGGGCCAGTACTATAGCACTCAATGTATCATAAGTGTATAACTCTGAAATGAAAATGTCTTGTGAAACATTTGAAGTCATACACCTGACACTGGTAGTCACTGACTGAGTAGTTCGGGGATGTGGTGGCTGGCCTCCTAGCAATCCTTCTCCACCCCACACACATTTTCTGGAGGATGGTGAGAGTAAATTGGTCTGTGTTTCTGGCTTCTCTTGCCATTCCTTTTCCTTCTCACGCTTCTCCTCTTACTAGTTCCCACCTCTCCTTTTCTATCTCTTCTGATGTTATTTTCCCATTCTTTCTCCATTTCTTTCTTCTTCCTCCTCCTCTTCTTCCTATTCCATATTGTCTCCCTCTACACCTGCTCCCTCCCTCTTCCCTTAACCCTCTCTCTCCTCTTCCAGTTTCTTCTTATTTCCCCTCTCTTCTCAGTCCTCTGACTTAAGCCATATGCCTAAGCTTTGGCTTTTATCCCTTATCATGTATGACTTTGGGTAGGTTACCTTCCTTGCTGGACCACAGCTTCTCCCATTTTGTGATGGGAGAAATACTACATACCTCTGACAGTTCTTCTGAGCGTTAGAGATAACGTAAGAAGCAATATAAAAAGTACAACCCTAAAGTAGCCATTTATCATGAAGTCTCTGAGGCTAGCAGGTTGAGTTGTTAGATAGACAGTAGGTAATTTGCTTAGCTGAGACATTTCTGTTGGCTTTATAAAGGTCAATACTAGACTGGAAAGCCATGGTGAGATCACTGGATCAGAAGAACTAACTCCCTAGCTCTAATCTTCGTTGTAATAGTTGCAATCAAAGTGATTTTGGAAGACAAGTCAAACTCACTTTTTATATTCTTATAAGCTTAAATTCATGGTAATAACATCACCTGGTTTTTACTTTTAAATAAAGGGAAGGCTCTTCTATACATCACTGTTAAGGTCAAATTGAAATTATACATTTCAACCTAGAGACACATGCTTTAATTCTGTCTGGGATCAGTCTCACGTGCTTTGGAAAACACCAGCTCGTACAGTACTGTTGACTGCTCACATGGAGCATGGAGACAATAGAAAAATCTGTCACAATATCTTAGGTAAAGAACCTTCAAGTGGAAGCTTGGACTCTCGTGTAAGAGAGATAGTGGTAGTTAGTTAAAACATCTACTCTCTTCCTAAACTCATTATTTGAATAAATTGGTCACCTCTGTCTCCAGGAGCAGCCTTGGACAATACAGATAGCCTTACCATGAATTTGCATGTTTCTTAGCATTCTCTCCTTGCCCTCTGACTTTTAGAATATGATGCTTAACACAGTCATCCATGTGCTTCCTTCTGTTAGCATATGTGCTGATGAGGAGGGGCCGCTGGAAAGGGATGATTGAGAGGGCCATACTGGATTGATGAGGATTGTGTGTGCATGGGTGAACTTAATTATCACCAGGCAGTGAGTCACACTCCATTCTCTGCTTCTGGCACTTACCTCCAGTAGATGAGTATCAAATCCTTTTATTTTTGGCCCAGGAACTGGTGGAAAGATGCAGGTCATCATGCTATAAAATAATTTGTGAGAGTGGATAAATGACTCATCTTTTCATTGTAATATTTGTAATTATTGTCTTTCAAATATTTGTAATTATTTGTAATTATTTGTAGTTATTGTCTTTCTTTCTTTCTTTCTTTCTTTCTTTCTTTCTTTCTTTCTTTCTCTCTTTCTTCCTAATTCCCAAATAGCTGATGCATGGGCTATAAGAGGTTGAATTCTGTGGCTGTATAAAAGTAACAGTAAATGATAAAGGTCAGTGTGGAGGCACACACTGCACCTTATGCTGGCTAACTTTGGATGGTGAATTCAAGCTACTGGATTATTGGTTCTGTTTGGTTTTCTCAGTGTTAGTTGATTTTTTCAGCTCTAAGTCCTGATTTCATGGGAAAGAGCATTGGATTCAAATAAGTACATTTTAATACTTTTTTAAACCACTGATAAAAGATTACTTTTTTTTTTTTATAAGCAAAATACTGGGGCTAATGGGTAAATGGAGTACTTATGCTGTTTGTTGGATTCCATAATCTTTGGATTATGGAATGACAACAACTGAGAAAAGGGCTGAGAGACAATGTAGTACCTATAGCCCTTCAAAGCCACTGCCCAGACCATAATCAAACAGATGACAGCAGAGAGAATGGCCACAATGATCCACACAGTTGTATCTTTCAAGGTGAAGTCTAAAAAACAAAAAAACCAGAGAGCTTTGATCACATATAATATTATCATTAAACACCAACTAGCGAACCAATGCAACACGTGAAGTTCTTGAACTCAAGATTTTTTTTTCTTTCAACTTATATCTCTTGACTTGAAAAGCAATCCGTCAAGAGTAGGTAGACATAAGACAGACAAGGAAGTCAGAATGAATGACCAGTGAGTCCTTGGAGGACATTCTAAGCTTAATCCTGAAACTTTTTTTCTAGAAACTGGTGTTTAGCAACTGTGATTCAGGCAGTAATACAACTTGTCCAAATGTCCTTTTGTTAGATTAAGAGATGATAATCACATATTGAACTACTTTTTAAGATAAGGCTCAAAATAATTTCTACATTAATAACCATTACATACAGTTTTATTATTTATAATATTTATAAATATAGGTAAAAAATTATAGCCAAAACACTTACCATTGGGTATTTCAATGGAATTCTCTTGGCCCCATCTACTCCAGTATCCATGGTCTGGCTTGCATCGAGTCTGGACAAAATACTTTTGTCCTGGATATAAGTCAAAAACCTTAAAGTGTGTTTGCTGTCCTGTAAAATGGGTCTAAGGAGGAACAAGAAGAGCAGAAGTCACTTCTTACTTTTTGTATGAGGAAAGATACCTTTTTTTCTAAACCATAAGATATTGGGGAGTTAGGTAGACATGGCTCTACTTAGAGAATGCCTTGTTTTTCAGCACTCTATTCTATCCTTTCCTTCTTCCTGTTGAAAATTCTCTCACAAAAATTTAAAAGGTGATTTTGAGGCCAGCCTATTCTACAGAGTGAGTTCCAGGAAAGCCAGGGTGACACAGAGACACCCTAAAAATACAACAATATAAAATAAATAAACAAATAAGAGATTTTTCTATGTATTCATTTGGAACTCTATTTCACTCCCTCCTAACTTTCCTTAATGAAATAGAGGATATTTGCTAACAAATTGACTCATGTATGTATGTGTATATATATATATATATATATATATATATATATATATATATATATATATATATATATATGTGTGTGTGTGTGTGTGTGTGTGTGTGTGTGTGTGTGTGTGTGTATGATAACAAAATTATTAGTTTTCAAGTTACAATGAAGTAATTGATTCAAAAGATTATTAATTGGTGTTAAAACTACTATGTGGAAGAAGTCTAAGCCTTCATGTATGTTGAAGTAATTGTACACAAATAAAATGTTATTTAGCAATGACGACATCAGGTTTCTACTTTCCTAATGTAGGACTCAGATTTATTATCATTTATATTAGGTCAACCAGATGGCTCATGCCACCTGATGATGATGAATGTAGTATGAAGTTTATACTAATTCTTATAGAGTATGTTGAGCTACATGTTATTCAAATTGAATCTAAATCTTTAAAGTTTGGTTGTAGAAAGTAGCAAGGATATCAGCTAAGTGATTACAGAAAGAACTAATAAAAAGTGAAGATTGTGTGACATCCTAATGAACTAGCAGCTTCCTGGCCTCAGTACATCAAAACTATCCTAGAGTAGACTTTGGTTTAGACAAACAAGTTGTTAAGAATATTTTTGAAGAAACTGAGACAGGGCAGATTGAAACATAGATCAGCTGCTATTTAGAGATCTTAATTACCTTTCTAAAATATAAAACCCGATTCTTTTGGCTACATTTGCAAATGCCCCCTTCTCAACAGAAACATATACTAAGATATTTAAGGGCAGAATATCATAATGCCTGTAATTGTGGCATTACACTTTTATACTGAAGTATTACAAAATATTTCTTTCAAAACATATTGACCATGGAAAGATGAAACAGAAATTCTCTTGCCTCCAGCCTCAGTTTAGTTTCTGTTCTTCCACAGGGATCTCTACCTGAGACATGCTTAGGAAGGTAAACTGGGGCTTACGGAGGAACCTGTCCAGTACAAGCAGCTGTTGCTGTGCGAGCTCTGAATACGAACATCGTTCAATCTCAGAAGAGGGGAGAAGACATTTCCATATTCAGGAGGGCCCTGTCTGTGGGTGGTGGGCAACCAGTTACAGAAATAATCTACTCTATTGTGAGAGCCTTATCATTTCCAAATGACATGATTCCTCCTGTCCGTTTGACTCACTTCTGTTTGACTCACCTCCCACTCATCTGCTTCTTCAGACTTCAATCGAATTTCGTACTCCATTGTAAACCAACCAGTTTTTACATCAGTTATGCTGGGTGGGGACCATTTTATCCACAAATACATTTTTTTGTCTTTTAGCTGTTTCACTTCTAAAGTCAGGTTCCGTGGAGGCTCTGGCTCAACTGTAGATATAAAAAGAAATTTTAGTTTTTTTTTTTCTTTTCTTGTTGTGATATTCCTTTCTGTTTTCTATATGACTTGAATTTTCTATCAGCCCAATTTCCCCACTGCATTACAAGCACCTACAGGACATGATAACACCTTCTTCCACTTAATATGTGATCAATCATGTTTGTACTTAAAGATGGGGTTTGAATGGTAACAATAAGAAACACCTGAGATTTTGTTTTGGCTGCATTCTCCACTTCCCATCGGCTGGGTGTGATAAAAAATGAAATCAATTTTCATTGGGGGGTGGCTACTCGAAGTTTGTTCATGCCTCACTGGAAGATCCTATATAGGTAGCACTAATTGAACTCAGGGTATTATTAAAAACAAACAAAACAAAAATGAAGACAGAAAGTTGGGAGGGAGATGTGTGCATACTGTAAGCCCTTGGCCTGCTTTCCCTTATTGAATTAAATTAGGAAGACGAGTAATTTCAAACCTTATTAACTGCTTCATTAATTATTATCTAAGGAAAATAACACACATTATTTTTCTGATCCTATCTCTTCTTCTAGCAGTTAATTATTGTCTGTGTTAAACCTTAAAAGCCATTGAAGCTGTGTTCAATTGCTCTGCTGCAGAATGCTGATCATGCAAAGCAAGGGACATCTCTCAGATCGACTACTCTACCATATAAATGCCTTCTCCAAACATTACATAAGTGATATTAACCTTCAGCCAGTTACTACTTACTACTGTTGTTGTTATTATTATTACATTTTAGGGGATACGCAAACCCAGGACTTTTAAAATTTATGCTAGGCCGATCCTATCATTAAGTTATACCTCCATCACCTCCAGCAGTCTTTGTGTAAAAATATCTCAACTTAATAATGAAGTAAACATAATATTGTTGAGAACCGAGTTTCAGTCAAAGCATTTGGAGTGGTTCCTGTGAATACAGAATCTGAAGATCCTTTTAAAGACCTTCATTTTCACAGAGTATCCCTGTCTTCTATAAGGAGAAAGAAAAGACATTTGGAGCTGTTGAGATAGCTCAGTGGGAGTGCTTGCCTTCATGCCCAGCTTTGGGTTCCATCTTCAGCACACCCTCACCAAACAAGAAAAGAAATTTGAGTTGGCTGGTAATGAGGGCAAGACAGTTGCAGGGAGAGGGCAGAGGGAAGCATTAACAAGAGAGGCAGGCAGAACACTCATGCTGGGTATAATGAGGATTGGCGTTGAGGGAAAATATGAGAACATGACGATCCCAAACACCAACCTTACTGTGAAGAATCAGCGCTGTTGGTGTGAAATGCTCCCTCAGCAAAGACACTGTGAGTGTTCTCACCTTTCTTATCTGGAAGCCACCCATGAGCCAGGGAGACCCAGACTGAGCCTGACTTTTGACTTTTAACTATTAAACAGTAACAGATTCCCCACCCACGTCCCTTTCCCTTACCTATGTAAGTCACATCCACATAAAGTGGATCCGAGGTACTGCTTCCCATTTGGTTAGTAGCATTTACTGTGATGACATATATTTTCCATATGGAAGTGTACTGCTTGCTAAAGAAACAGGAGTTGGGGCCACTGGTTTTGTAGTCTGGACATTCATAGGTGGTTTTCTCTCTGCAACGAGTAATGCATTAAGAGTGAATAAGAAACAAGAGTCTAGCTTTTGTTCTTGATAGATTGTATTACTGGATTTTGAGGATAAGGCTTTCAAAAAATAAGAATAAAAGCAGAAAAATGGGTTCCCATGGCTCTGTGCTCTACCCACATCACTTGGGGGTGAGCCAAAGAAGTGCATTAGAACAAGTGGTAGGAAGAGTAATTTAGCACTGTGGCGCTCTGCTATTCACCAACCGTTGTTTTTTGCAGGTGTTTCTACAAACCTTGTGGTTTGTCCTCCTAGTGGCTGAGGCACACTCATATTGGGTAGCCTTAGGCAGTGGGGACCTTCCTTAGCGCATATACACATTATGGGGTCAGACGTAGTGCGGTGCTGGTCATACAAACACGTGGAGCTACATCTTACGAAAAGGATTCAGAAGGAGACACACTGATGTCAGTGAACATTAGATGGTGTCAAGTGGGCAACAGAGTGAAGTGGCCACGAAAGGGCCATCTTTGCCCCACAGGGCTCATTAAGTTGCTCATATTTAAACAGCCTCAACTCTAGTCACACCACACAGGGTTAGGGGCTGCGTCAATCCTTGATTCTTTAAATATTGATGCCATGTCTCTTTGGATCACAGATGGGAGGACAGCTTTGTGTACAAGTAGTCCCTGGAAATTGGTATGGCTGTCTCTGTCAGTAATATGGTTTTTGTTTGTTTGTTTGTGTTTAGGTTCAAGATATGGAGGAGTATTTTTTGCTAAGCTAACATTTCTATAGCTCCTTTTAAATTTCTAGGAGGAGTTCATTGTGATTTTTATCAAAATTATAATGCAGAGATTTTTTGCCCTGATGGTTTTGGCCTCATGGCAATGTTACACTTAACTATGCCCTCCAGGAGATCTTGAATTTTATTCTTATGCTGTGTTTAAAATGGGGATTCTCTATGTATCCCAGGCTGGCTTTGAACTTGTGATCTTCCTGCCTCAGCCTCGAGAATGCTGGGATTACAAACGTGTGCTCCTATGACTGGCTGATATTGTATCTTTTAGATCAGCAGCTTGCTTTAAAAATATCCTCAAGTTTTTAATCCTTAAAGGTTATTTATTTTCTTGAGCATGAAACACATTTGAAAACTTAATGTACCATGGCTACCGAGGATCACATAGTTTATATAATTCTGTTATGTTACAAAAGTAGTATATTAACTAAATTAAAAAAAAACCTACAAATGATATGTGGTTTAGGGATGAACAGTTAAGATTAGCCAACACTTTGGAAATGGTGACTTGGCCTGCAATCTTGTGACAGACAATTTGAAACTTGGTTAATATTACAATGATTCTGGTCAATGTGCATTTGAAGATTGTTCTGTAAAAACCTCTATAGAACAAGATGGGCAGAATCATTAGATAACTTGCCTGGTGGTATGAACCCTACTGATGTAAGCACAGGAAAGCAGGTGTTTCCAATTTAGAACCAATGTAACCTGGGCCTGGAGGGCATGAACCCTCTGGTGGGGTTCAACAGTAAAGAGCGAGCACTTTTTACCCTTCTTTGCTGTAAGTTAGCGAGTAATTGGTAGGAAGTCCTCCATCTGTCCCGGGCTTCCACCAGCAGGTGAATGTTTCCTTATCAGGGGAACGGCATTTGTGAATCTCTGGTTTTCCGGGTGGTGATTGTCCTAAAAGAAACAAACAAAAGCCATCGCCCTTAGAGTTAATGTTGAGGTCCATTCATCTGCATTACTGAGCTGCCAGCAACAGAGGCAGATTCCTGGCACCCTGGCCTGCGCATTGCTCAGAAAGGCCCTGGCATCAGCAACCAGCTATACTGCTCTGAGCTATTCCAGTGCCAGCAGGATACTTAGGTGATGTTTGGTGGTGGTATATGTTTTCATTTTGAGATGGAATTAACAACAACTTTTGTAGAGACCAGTGACAGAGTGAGGGGAGAAAGTTGGATGTATAGGAAGATACATTAGCCTCTCTTCCCACAGAGTCTAGTAAGCACTAGGGCTATCATCTAAAGCATTCTTTCTTCCTCGGAGACTGATGGCTTGTGTACACGCGGTCAGTGCATGGCTTTCTCCGCTCTGCTCGGGAATCTGTACTTTCATGGCATCCTCACGGCGCCAGCTCTACCTCTGTCTTTATTTGCACCACTTCCGGCCCCTTATCCGGGGTTTCTCTGGATTGCTTCCTCCCTCCCTTGTCGTCTCCCTTCTTGCTTTCTCGTTTACCTTGATTCTGTACAGTCTTGGCCTAATGATCTTTTTTTTTTCTAAAAATATATTTTATTAATTCTTTGAAACTTCTATACATGCACACAGTGTACTTTGAACCTATTCACTCTTTCTCTCCCTAACGCTCCCCAGATCTAACACTAGCTCTTATCCCTACCAACTCCCCCACCTCTCTTACACACACACACAGACACACACACACACAGATACACACACACACACACACTCACACACACACACGCACGCACACACACGCGCACACGCGCACACATACACACAGAGTCTGATTTGTACTTTTTAAATACTTATGAAAGCGAGGCTACCCGTAGAGTCTAGTTAACATCCAGGGGACTATACAGTTAAGGAAACCTGATTCTTAGTTCCCTGAGGCTGCCAATAGCAATTCAGTGAGAGCCCTTCCCTTCTCTGATGAACGGCTTAATCTTGTGCTGATCACCTGCACACAACCTCAGCTACTGTGAAATTATAAATACAGTGGTCTCGCCATGTGTCCAAATAACACTGCTTCATTCCAGTCTTCCTCCGGCCTCTGGCTCTCATAGTCTTTCCATCCCCAAGATGGCCCAAGATGGCCCCTGAGCCTTGTGTGGCAGGGTTGTATCTGTGGCTGAGCCCTCTACAGAATAATGGTCCAGGTGTACCAGCTCGCAATTCTTTCTTTTGCTGGCCGAAGAAATCTGGTTTTTTGTCTCCTCTTGTATTCCGCCCCACCCCCGACCCCCACCCCTTTTGGTTCTTTTTATGAGTAGGTGACCTAAAACTTCCTTGTAGTTCTTCAGATCTTTACAAAGCATGTGGTATGGTAAAAGGTAAGATAGAGGGTAGTTCCACTCTGAGTAGGAAGCTACCCTGAGGAGATAAGAGCTGTTCCCACTGTCAGGGAGGTAAGAAGTTCTCACTGAAGTAAGACGTTTTGAAAAAGGTGATGAGGCCAAGGTGATGAGGTGTTTTCGTTTGTTTGTTTTTTCACGTGCTTGGTGTCCAGAGTTCTTGGCAAGCTAATCTCCAATTCTCATGCTTGGCAGTTATGTTGAAAAGAATAGGTTTAACCTTGGGGATTTTTGTCATGATGCTGTTTCCTTGGGAGGCTAACTATAACTGACAGTTTTCCTGTTTGTTTTTGTTTTTGTTATTGTTGTTTGTTTGTTTGTTTTTCCCTGCTTGAGGAACCAATGCTAAATTCAAGAGTAGAAAAATTTTTCTTTCAGTGGTTGGTTGGTGTTATCAACTAAGGGGTCTTCTATATCTTTTCCCACATTTATTCAATCTTTTCAAGCAGACCCTCAGAATGAAGAGCTGAGCACCCACCCAGCAGCGCAGCTCATCCAGGGAGATCCTGACAAGGGCATCATGGATTGGAAAGTGGGTCTCTATGAAGAAGAATTTAGTGGAAGGTCTAGTATGGTGCACCAGATAGGGAAATGAAAAGAAGGCTGGCCAGCCAGTGGTAGCAGAGTGTTACAGTAGCTTACAGAACTGCTGAAAAGAGTCTGTGTGAGCCTTGTGCAGATCTGCCAATGTTAGGAGCATTGCTCAAACTCCAGGGAAGATTTTGTCAATATAGTGCTATTGGGAATCATTGCAAAAATAAAAGATGTATTTTGTTTGTTTGTGTCTGTCATGGATGAGTAGAGACATGTGATGTAGAGAGAAAGAGTTGTTTAAAACCTCTAAACCAGCAGGGCATGGTGGTGTATGTCTTTAATCCCAACCAAGAGGATTTCTGAATTCAGTGCCAGCTTGGTCTATAGAGCCAGTTCCAGGACAGCCAGAGCTACAGAGAGAGACCCTGTCTTTAAAAATTAAACCAAGTAACTTTCAAGGGGAAAAGGTAAGGTCGTGAAATTACTAGTAGCCAAATGTTATTTTCTTTTTTTTTTTTTTTTTTTTTTTTTTTTTTTTTTTTTTTTTTTTTTTTCCTGTTATAAAGTGATTTTATTAAATTGATTTTGACATACTGTAGGTCAAATAATATTTTCTGAAGATAACAATTATGGACTTTAAAGCTTGACATAAAATTAGTAGCTTCAAAAGTGTTAGTTGTATTCCCCAGCAACAGCATGATAAAATAATTCAACTATGTAGAAATATAGAACTCTAGGACTAGCTGGAAATTGGGAAATCATTTAGTCCAGTGCCCTCATTCAGTGAGAAAACTAGACCTGAAGATTAAGCAAGCCAAATGTTATTTTCATGCACACTGAGGAAACAAACTTTATGGACTATCTCAGTGAACAGACACAAGGGATAATATACATGTGCAAGAAATTCAAACACCTGCCTGTACCAATTCCACATCAGAAGTAAGTGACCCATCATGCATGACACCCATATAAAGTATATCTAGAGAGAAACACATGCTAAGGCATAATGATGGCCATATACACACAACAATATATACACATGTATACACAGATGTTTATTCCTAACACCCATATAAAACATATCCAGAGAGAGATACATGCAAAGGCATAATGATGACAAGTATACACTATTATAGTCACACACATACACACACTATACACATATGTAAATACATAGAGGTTACACACACACACACACACACACACACACACTCACACAGAACAATTTACAACCCTGTACTATAAGCACTTGGCATGTACATGGGCACATTCAGAAGTACATGTCTGCAGAAAGACATGGAGGTAGATGTGGAGACCTCCACAGACAATCACACACCTTGAAGGTGGCTATGGCTTTTGCTTGGCTCAGTAGCATACATACTGGAGGTGGTAACGCTTGTTCTCCACCTTGCAATGGCCATCCCTTATCACTTCATGGTTTTCCAGAGGTATTTTCACACAGGTTATTTCATCTGAAGTTTGTGAAATACCACTGTCCTTCCTTGGAGAAATTAAAAACATGGAAAGACACACAAGTGGTTCAAACCACACAGCTAAAAGTAACTGTAAGAACCTGGATGGCAGCTCAGGTCGTGCCATCCCCAGTATCTTCTCGGTTCACCCTCAAAACAGCGATGGAAGAAAGAGAGTAAAGTGACAAGATACTGCATTAATTTTAATGCAGAAATGTGGCAAATAATTTAGTAGCAGTACATGACAATGAACATTTTCAATTCTCACAACTGCATCGCAACAGACCGAGACAGCCTCTCCAGCCCCCCGATACACACTCCGAGCAAGAAGAGTGTTTCTTACCATTCAGAAGGCTGATGTTGAGAAAAAGTAGGATGAAAGCAAGTGCAGATGGCATATTTTCCTTCATGGTGGCCCCCTCTTCTTGCTACAGGCAATGTATCAAAGGCTCCCTGGAAGAGAAAACATCAGGTGACATCTGTGAAACCACAGCTGGCCAGGCACATGCACCACTCTACTCTGCCTGCTTGCAGCTGATTCTTGTTCCTTGCTTAATGTGAGTGACAAAACAGTGGGAAGAGAATGTAGGAAAATGTAACATGGGATGGCTTGGCTAAAAAGCACCGATTCACACAGGCTGGCAAAAATTTCACCACAAGAGGTCATCAGACAACAATGTAGACAGCTCAGGGGGAAGGCAAGGCTGTTGGCTTTTTTATGTTTTGTTTTTGTTTTGCTGTTTTTTTTTTTTTTTTTTTTTTTTTTTTTTTTTTTTTTTTTTTTT